ATAGTTTGTTGAGCTAGTTCTTTATTGAAGGACAACTTGATTTCCTCCAGTTGTTTATGATTATAAATAAAATTGCTATAAATATCTATATACTGGTTTTTGTATGGATATAAGTTATCAGATCATTTGGGTAAAAACCTGGGAGCACAATTGCTGGATCATATTTTAAGACTATGTTTAGCTTTATAAGAAACTGCCAAACTGCTGTCTGAGGTGGGTATCTTAGTCCATTTGTGTTGCCATAAAGAAATATCTGAGGCTGGCTAGTTAATAAAGAAAAAAGGTTTATTTGGCTTGCAATTCTGCTGGCTGGAAGATCGGACATCTGGTGAAAGCCTCAGGCTGCTTTCACTCATGGTAATAGATGAAGAGTAGCCAGTGTGTGAAAGATCTAATGCAAGAGAGAAAGGAATAAAAAGAGGCAGGAGGCACCAGGCTCTTTTTAACAAGCAGCTCTTGTGGGAACTAATAGAGTGAGACACAGTTATTACTGTGAGGATGACACCAAGCCATTCATAAAGGACTTTCCCCAATTACCCAAACACCTCCCATTAGGCCCCAGCTCCAACATTGGGGATCAAATTTTAACACAAGATTTAGATGGAGCAACCATCCAAACTGCGGCAGTGGCTACACAATTTTGCATTCCTATAACGATGAATATGAGAGTTCCTATTGCTCTGAGTACTTGCTAACAACTGATACTATCAGTTTTTAGATTTTAGCCATTCTAATAGGCATATAGTAGTATTTCCTTGTTTCAATTTGCGTTTTCCTAGTGACAAATGTTGCTGGGCATCTTTCATATGCTTTTTTGACATCTGTATATCTTCTTTGGTGAGATGTCTGTTCAGGTCTTCTGCCCATTTTTTTTAACTAAGTTTTTTTTTTTTTGTTTCCTTATGTTGAGTTTTAAGAATTGTTTTTACATACTAGGGACAAGTTTCTAATCAGATATGTGTTTGCAAATAATTTCTTCCAGTCAATGGCTTATATTTTATTCTCTTAACAATGTCTTTCACAGAGCAGAAGTTTTTAATTTTAACAAAGTTCAACTTATATACAACCATTTTTTATAGAGCATGCTTTTGGTGATGTATCTAAGAACTCATGTTGCTTTTCTCCTGTATTATTCTAGAAGTTTTATAATTTCGCATTTTACATTTAAGTCTATGATCCACTTTGAGTCAATCTTTGTGAAAGGTGTAAGGTCTGTGTGTAGGTGTTGTTTGTTTACGTTGTTTTTGCATTTGAGCATTCATTTTTCCAGCACCAGCACCATTTTTGAAGACTATTTCTTTCTCCATTGAATTGCCTTTGTGCCTTTGTCAAAAATCAGTTGACTAAATTTGTCTTAATATAATTTTAACCTGTTTGTGAAATCAGTCATACTCAATAATATTTTAATGATACAAATCTAAAAGGCATACATGAATTCTACCAAATTTCAACATTCACTTAATGATGTATATCTTTAATGATCCATTATGAATTTATGATGACCAGACTCTTGCCTGCTTCTTCAACCTCATCTCTTCCTGCCCATTCCAGCCTAATTCCAGCCTCCTGGCAGTCTTTCTGTGTATTTAGTCTTTTCTAAGTCACACTGAATTTTCACTGGACATAGGGCCTAAACACTTTCTTGTGGGAGACTTTCAATTTGGTTTTTCTTTATGAGCTGAAGAAACCCTAAAGCTCACAATCTTTCCTTTTGTCATAGGAAAATATGTAAAATTCCTTCATTTTAGCTGTTAAGAAAGTTATACCAGGATCAAAAGTTTCTTTCTTCCAGATGCATTATTCATATTGCAACAAAGGAAAATCACACGTTTATAACATTCCTATGAGAAGTCTCCTAAACGTGAAATGATGCTGCCTTACTGTTTAATGTTTCTATTTGGAAAACAGAAAGGGATATGATCCTTAGGGCCTCAGATGAGGAGAGGAAATGTCACACAGGATCCATTACTTTCCCTCAAGATGCAGGTTGGTTCAGATCTTACTCATCTCACCTTTAAAATAGTCATCAGAGCCTGCCTGGGCCCAGGTGAGCAACTTCAGCCTAAAGTCCAGGACTCAGTAGGCATTTGGGTAACCCATCATGGCAGAGAATTGAAAGCAGTCTGAGTAATATCTGATTTTTTTTCTTATGTGGTTCCCTGTGGAACCATGTAATAAAGGAAACTTACAAATCTTTTGACTGGTCTCTGTCTCCTGGCAGCTTTGAACTTCCATCTCATAACGTTTAAAGAAGCAAGGTTCAGTTTAGCCCAGACAAATGGCCTGATTTGGGCCAATTCTAAGACATCTTCTCCTGGATAGCTTTTTCCCAGGCTGATTCCTTCCCATCATCCAGATGATTTGAAATATTACCTCCTCACCTGACCACCTTATTTCTAAAACTACCCCTTCATCTAGTCACTGTATTTCACTCGTTCATAAGTCTTATCAATTTCAGAATTATTGTGTTAATTTGTTTTCTGACTTTCAAACTCCTTCTCCACCTCCTGCTGGCTTTAGAATGTAAGTTTCATGAGGTCAGGAACCTTGATTGTTTGGGTTATTCCTGGGAACTAGAATGTAGGTCTTTTTTTAAGTTATTGAATAACAGAACAAATGAATAAATGAATGAACAATGATAGATGATAAACCATGCATTTTTTTCCAAGGAACCTAGAATAATTGGGCATTTAGATGTATTAATGAGAAGAATGTATCAAAGAGAATACAAAGATCCTTTCCAGAAGGCATTTACAAGGCAATGATGATGATCACTTTCCTCTCTTACAGTGAAAACATTGAAATCACTACCTCATGCATTTGAGTATTTCATTAATATCTCTCAGAAAGCATACTTTTTTTTTCTTTTTTAGATGGAGTTTTGCTCTTTTCGTCCAGGTTGGAGTGCAATGGCACGATCTCGGCTCACCACAACCTCTGCCTCCCAGGTTCAACGATTCTTCTGACTCAGCCTCCCAAGTAGCTGGGATTACAGGCGTGCGCCACCACGCCCCTGCTAATTTTGTATTTTTTTAGTAGAGACAGGGTTTCTCCATGTTGGTAAGGCTGGTCTCAAACTCCCAACCTCAGGTGATCCGCCCACCTTGGCCTCCCAAAGTGCTGGGATTACAGGCATGAGCCGCCATGCCCAGCCAGAAGCCATACTTTCTAAGCAGGACAAAGATCCAGTAAATAAGGGTCAAAATGGTGCCTCAACTTGTGTTGGGATAAAGTCAACATGCAATTCTAAAGTACATACAAAATATTCAACAACTCTTATGCATCTAATAAAAGATATCATCTAAGAACTGGGTAAGTAACAGGAATAGATTCATAGTCATGTGATGGTTGAGTTGGTGGAAACATTCGAAAGTCGATATTTTAAACCCCATAGTTTAAACAGTAGGGAATGTGTCCAAAAGGGAATATGGCTTGCCCACGTTATACACATATTTATAGGTGGCTCTGAGAACTGTTGAGCACTAGGGAATACTTGGAACTTTAATAGCAATTTATTTACATTGTATCAAAATAACCAGCAAATTCAGCAGTACCAAAAAAAAAAAGAAAAATCAACATCCTTGTTAGTTTGCCATGATGTAGACCCAACAGTCACTTGTTTTGGTAGAGCTCTTCATCAAGCTGAATGTTCCAAACACTCACAATTTTCCTTCATAGTAAACAAGTCAGGGAATGCACAATAGTGATAGCTGGACCATCTCATCACTTATATCTAATAAGTTGAGTGATTGCAATCAAACCATTAAGATATACATATTACTTCTTGAATAAATTCTTATTTCTTGGCCTTATTAAAAGAGAGAATATCATTTTACACTACACTATTTCTGAGATTATTATATGTTTTTGACTTATTTAGAAGGACATTGTCATGATGAAGCTATTCATTCTCTTTTAGAGACATCTTTTTATTGGTGATAGAATTCAGGACCTAGTATCCTTAGATTTAGGCAATTGTGCCCAGGAAAAGTGTCAGTCATAACATAATTAATAGCCTGCAAAAAATGTGAGATCTTGTAAGTTGTTTTGGGAATCTGTCACTTCTATAGTGAAAATAAACTCAGACATAATGAAGTGATCTTGATGAATCAGAAACATTTCTCTCTCCATTTCATGTCTATTCCATTTTTACAACAGCTTTTGGTTTGATTTAATACATTATTATAGGAGAGAGGGCCCATTAAACAGCTATAGAAAATGAGAAATGTGTTCCTTTTAGGTTTTTATACTTTTTAAATGATATTCAGATGATTTTAATTACTACAAAAGCATTGAGATGTTAATATACTTTAGATGAAAGGGAGGGATACTATTTCATCCATCCTTTTCTGCAGTGAATTTCAACTCTGAGAAAATTATTTCTTTTGATCACTCTGATAGCATATAATAAAAGAACAATAAAACATGTGGCTCAATTACCACTGCTTCTCATCAAGCATGAATTAATGAATATAAAATTATTATTAATTGTTTTTCCTGGCTCCCTCTTCATTGGACAACAATTTTACATTGCTGTATTTTGATAAGCATTTTGTGTTTAACACTTTGTGAACCAGGCTTTAAGAGGAACAGAGGCATGAAATTATTACACAGGAGAATAATTCTTTGAATGTATTAACATTTGGAAAACACATGATAATCTTTTAATCTCCCTAGTTTATTGCAGTTTTCCACAACTGCCTTAACTTCTCTAGAATTCTGCCCCCACTTCCATGTTCCATACATCTTTTTTCTAGAAACAGTTGCTATATGCACATAAAATGGTTTAAAAGTTCAATTTCCCAATGTTAATAATACTAGTTTCTCACATGATTATTACATGTTCAATTTCTTCAGAAAAGTTTCTTAAAAATAAAATATATAGCTTGAGTAGTTAAAAATAAGCTAAACAGTGCAACAGAGAATATAATAGATTGTGATCACTATCATTGACAAAATTAATGTTAGTGAATTATATTTACAAACACTTCACATAAAGATTCTATGTAACTGATACTTCACTTTATTTTTATAAGCCTTTTGTAAATAGGTGCTATGTAATATGAGTATATATAACATGCTAAAGAACATAGCTTTTTAGTCCATAACCATTACTTCTAATAGATTATATGTATACCCAGATTTTCAAATGCATACAAAGAAAATTTAACAAATAATTACGTGTAAGCTATACATGTCATATGATTTTACCTGTTACCCATCAATCTGTTTCTGTTTTTAAAACACAGTTTTCAAACACTATGTCTGTGATTAAACAATGACACTAAAGTTAAATTGTTTATATGTCCTACCTAGTTCAATAGGCTTCATAAACACATATGCATACATGTTTCCAAAGAGCAAACTAAAACCTGCTTTAGAATCAGAGAATTTGGGAAGCAAAAGGAACCTTAGAAATCATGTTATCCAATGCCCCTTATGTTACAAATAGTAGCACAGAGATCTGGAAAGTTTAGTGATTTTTGAGGTCTATAAACTTTTTATGTTAACATCTTTCTGCCCAAGTGTATAAGAAAAGTGTTGTTAGTATTTTGCAGAGGAAGGAAACATATCTGGCTTTCTTGACAGCTCTTCAGGATGTCAGTGTCTATGAATCCGAATTCTTAGAGAATAAAAGGTGAGGAAATGAGAAACTTGGTTTAAATGGAAACCACTCACAGCCAACATATGGAGCAGGGATGGACCTGGCTGGAGTGTAATGCTCACTGCCTATCAGAAGCATCATTCCTTTGACATTGGTATCTGGAACCATTTGAACTTCTTATTGCTAACTCTAACCAGAGACCAGATGGCTCTTTTTATGTGTGTGACCTTACTGAAGACAATTAGATTACTTATGTAATAACAGAATTACTAATTTTGTACAAGAGTTGATCTTCAATGTGAAAGCTTTTCTAGATTACATATTATTAAGAAAAAACTTGTAACTTTTAATTCCTTAATGAGTGCTTTTCATCTTGATTTCCTTGTGCCAGAGTTATGGAATCCACTTTGCTGAAAATTAAAAGAAAAAAGACATGCAAATTCCGTACAAAAACAAGCTCATCATTAAAAATTTACAGACAATTATTCACCCAAAGGGCAGTGGTAGATTAAGGATTCCACTTTTCCTTCCACTTCTGAAATAATCACTATGGCTTTTGGTCATACTGTGTATATGATGTACCAGATGCCTGGTATGCATATTTATGAGATGTCTGAGAGTCATCTCCTGACAACTTATATGTACTATAAAACATGCAATGCCTATGGAGTACATATAGGGGGGAAGACACAAAAACTTCTGAGTCTTTTGGTAATCACACCCGCTAAGCCACATCATGAACTCTGGGAGAATAAAAATTTTAGAGCTACCACCATGCACATCAGGACCCATGATATAACATTAGATCATCATAAGATTACTAATTCAGGAAGAAAAGTGAGTATGAGAGCTCTCTGGGGGAAGTAGAACATAGAAGGCAAAGTATGAATATAATTAGGTATGTTCTTGTAATTGATTCTGCAGCCTGATGGAATGTGGGTTTCTGATATTTTTTCAGAGCATTTTCTAGATGTAGTCTCCCAGTAGCTCATTAATATCACACATTTGTCATTAAATTCCATACTTTGGATCCCACGTAGGAGTCCCAAGTGTTCCTTTTTCATTCATCATACCAATAAGACAGCAGGAAAAAGTGCCTTTCACATAGTACTGTTGACCATCTTCTCAATATCATTTTGGTTATTTTATCTACTTACTACTGAATCTAAAAGTAAAATGTGGATAGTAGCTTTTAAAAACCAGTCAAGTTTCACAGGACTTAATTTTGCTAATTTATGCTACAATGTGCACATCTCTTAAATCAGCTTTTAAACCTTTCATACGTAGCTTATAAAAAATGTTAGTTAAAAACACAGGTCCTCAATATCCTTTTCTCACATTGCGTATGCTAATTAAGAGTGCAAATTATAGTAACATTGATCTTAGATGGATAAAAAACTTAAATGCTATATTTTTGTAGAATTACATAGAATTAACTAAATTTTCAATTTAAAAGTAATATTCAAAAGCATTTAATGCAATAACCAAATTTAGTTAAAAATTATACAATATTCAAGTGCAAGCATAAAATGTCATTTACGAATATAGAATTCAATTTAAACAATTATGTGAGTAGAGAATATCTTTTTATGTTTGGAAAAAATGGAAAATTGTCTAAAATGAACGACCTTTTGGTTTAGTTGTATCTATATCGAATCTGATACCAGAAGGCAATATAAAAGTTGACTGATTTCACACCATTAAACAAAATACTACCATAGTATAAATATCTGCAGCTGAATTATTAACTAAATATAATTAATAAAATGTTTTACTTTATTAAAATACATCATTTTAAGTGATACCAAATGCTCATTAAGGTTAACAAAAGTGTTAAATGCTTACAGAGTGTAACACTTACCCATAATCTTAGAGTAGCAAGGTTCACAGTGTATTGTCTGTCTATAAATCCAAATACTATCACCCGCTTGTAGATTTTCCAAAGGCCGCTTGCATATTTCACACTAAAGAAAAAATATATATATAAAGTTTCCATTATAAATGAAGTCTAGATTATTAGAGAAACAGACATCATCTCTCTACCATCGAGGCACCTTTAAGGGATGTCTACCACTGAAGTTTTCTACTTTACTCACAGTGGAGTAGATATAAATGTCCAGAAATTGTTTATGCCAAGGACAAGATGACCATTCAGTATCTCAAACAAACACACAAAGGTGCATTTATTGTTTGCTAACTTAAAGGAGAGCTAGTTACGCTGTCCAGGCACAACCTAATGGAGAGAAGAAATAAACTGCTGATCTGACTGGGTTTGGGAAAAAGTTTATTTTGAGTTGTGCTGGTTTGAGGTAGGAAAGGGCTGACCTCTGCTTCAGACCTATCCACTGCTGATTGGCTGACTTCAAAGCATGTGGCTGTCACTGATTGGTTGGCTTTCAGAAGCCAATTCATTGAAGTAAACTGTCATTGATTAATTGGGTTTGTCTAAACCAGTTCATGTGGCTCTCTATTGCTATGGCTATAGAAAAAGCAGTATTTTTCTAAGAGAGTGAAGATGTTTGTTTTTATTCTCAGTAATATTTTATTGAAATTACACTGCAAATAGAAATAAATGAACTAAAATGTAATAAATGAAAATATTTCTATTTACTAAAGGCAATGATCAGGAGAATATTCTTGCTTTAAATTTTTCTGCATAGTAATTTTAATTAAAAAGCTATAAACTAAGTTTTGTTTAATTGAACATATTTCATAACTAAAAGAACTTTGTTCTCATAACTATAAAACCTGCAGATTATATCTTTATATAGAATTCTGTACATTATGCCCTAAAATTGAAACATTTTGCTCAAAATGAGTTACTACATTTCTGATTGCTATGTGTCACTGTTTGAAAGTAATAGAAATAGAAGCAATCAATTGACAAAGTATTGCATTATTTGACTGGATTTGATCATTTGTATCAACCATAGAATGTTGCACTAGAAAGAAACCATATATTTGACCCATTGTTTCTCCAACTGACTGTACATTAGATTAATCAAGGAGCTTTTTAAAAATACCAATGCCCAATAATCGCCTCTAAGATTCATGATTTAACTGGGGCTGGTCCCAATCATTCTATTTTTTTCCTCATCTCCCCAGATGATTATAATATGCAACCAGGATTGAGATCCACTGGTCTAGTCAACACCTTATTTTACAGTTATGGAAACTGAGGCCAAGGTAATTTAGGTGGTTGTCCAAAGTCACACTGACACAGTTACAGGCAGAGGCAAAACTAGAACTCAGGTCTTCAGACTCCCACTTAGTGCTTATGCAGTTACACCAAAAACAATGATGTCGATCCACCCAATGTTAGGGTGAGAATGCAAAGAAGCATCCTATGAAAGCACAAACTATGAAGTTTTAGACTACTAATGAAAACTTTATTATTATTTATTGAGCCACAATTAATTACAACTAATTATGCTCTCAAAAGCAGACTGACATTCACCTATTGTTAAACCCATTGGTCCTAATTTCATAAGGTAAGAAACTGCTAACTTTCTTCCCAACAATTTATTTTCTTGTTTTGATTTCATCACATATTTTCTGTAATGCATAATTTAGTAAAGTGTTGCAAAAACTTTTATAAAAAGAACAAGTGGTTTTTTCCCCCCACAGATTTAAATCTCTAGGGTAAGAGTGAATAAATGCGTCAGTAATCAACTGTAAGTCTAAAGCCAAGATAGTAATTACAAACCTTTGAGGTTTAGGCTGCAGAACTCAGAAATATTTAAGTAGTGTACTATCAATGTGACTGACAGTGCTTCTGAAAACTTTTGCTTCATCTCATTTATTACATTAAATTATTATTTTTATTCCAGTCATTATGCAATTTTTTATTTAGTTAAGTGAAATAAACATATCCTTACCTTAAAGCAAGTAGAATGGCAGCAAATTTGTAATTCATCTAAAATCATTTTAGTTTCTACACCCAAGGGTTTTCGGCAATAAGTGCACATATCTCTTTCAATGACAGACCTATAGAGATGTAAGCAATTAAAAATAAATTTGCCATAATACAAAAGACAGATATATTCCCTATAAACTCACATGGAAACAGTATGTTAATTTTGATGATACTTTAGAAAATTTCACAAAAATCAAGGAAAGTTTGGAGTTTACTTATTCTAGTAATAGAATTGACTCTTCTAGTTATCTCAAAATGATATCAAATAACTAACATGAGAGAAAGTCTAAAATTATTAATTCATCAGAAATCAAGAGTACAGCTGGGTGGGACAAAGATGCTCAGTTTCCTAATTAGGAAATATCTCAAGTACTCCTCAGAAGTAGTTGAGGGCTTTTATTTATTAATTTACATATATCGTGTTACAGATTACATGGAAAAAATATGCTGCAGATTAATTTTTAACTCTCAAAATATTCAATAGACCCAAAATAGAAATCCATTCAAGAGCACGTAGATAAACTCGCAAAATGATGAGTCTGTAATGCCTGGGACTGTAGGGGCCAGAGTCACCAAAACACTCCTCTTGGTGCCACTGTAAGACTCAGGATATAAGGATCCCTATCGTGACAAAATTTATACCCTTCAGCAAGATATAACCCCACCACAAATTTGATGGGGAAGAAAAGAGAGTTTTGTTTATTAAATAACAAATATTAAATATTTGTTAAAATAATGTTCAATGATAAATGATCTGCAGATATGATCAGCAGAATCCAAAATATCTTGAGTCACACTGGAACCTTAAGAAAGGATCCTTTTCCTTTTGTAAGGTCTTAGGACAGTCTTAAATAGCACCCTGCAGAGTGTACCAGTTTCAGGGTATTAGCACGCAGGCCTGACATTTCCAGAGTAGGATATGTAATGGGATAGTGAAATTAAGCAACCAATATCTAAATAGTGCTTTATATGATATGTGAAGTGCACTTTTCTCTGCACTTTACTTACATAAACTCACTTACTCTTCACAACATTTCTGACAAGCCAATATTATTATTTTTATCATCATTTTATTAAAAAAGAAACGGAGGCACAAAAGGATAAGTAACTTGCCACTGTCATGAAAGCAGTGAGTGGAAGAGTGAAGATGTGAATGGAGGCAGCGTGGTCCTAACACAATGAATCCAAAGATCTGTTGCGCTCATTGTGTTGAAATAAGTTAGTCATACCCAGGAACCGCTAATCTATTACCAAGCCCAGAAGTAGGAGCAAAGAGGAGAGAGAATGGAAGGGAAAAGAAAGTGGGAGAAGAAAGGCATTATAGCAGATAAACTTTATCTAGCTTTATACTTTTCATCATTCTAGTAACATCTTTCTAAGTCTCGTGTATATAAATGAATATTTTCTGCTTTTATCTCTTCTGTACCCGCTTGCTTATAGCTACCTGGCAAATATTTTCCTATGGATTATCCATAAACACACACACATATGTATGCATACACTTAAATTTCCCATTTAAGACTGTAAGCACTTTAAGAGTAGAAAATAGGTGCTCTATGTCCTTCATGCATTCCACAGGCACTGATCTAGGTGCTGCAAATACAAAGAGTGGTGAGACAGTCTCCTCTGACAAGATGCTGTTTCCACTGGGGAAACCAGATGCATGATATAATGATCACAGTGGAATACAGGTACAGGGACAGAGTGAGGAAAGCAGAGCCAAGAGAACCACTAACCCCTGGGGTGAAGTCAGGAAAGCCTTGTCAGAAAAAAGTGCTATATGCATTGTTTGAAGAGGAAAGAGCTCTCAAGGTGGGCTTGGTGGGGTAGGGATGAGGGGATGGTAGAGGAATTCCAAACAGAGTGAACAGAACATACAAAGGTGCTACTCTGGGAGGGTGTTTGGCAGGATTCAGCATCAGTGAATATTCTGCAGGAGCAGGTTCTGAAGGACCACAGAGAATGTGCAAAAGAAGTTGGACTTTATCCCGTTACATGGGAAACCACTTTAAACAGGATTGACCTGCTTAAATAAGAACTGTAAGAACATCGCCAATTTCACACACTATCAACAGCAAAAGGTTGTGGAACTGACTGGTCTCATGGAGAATCGACTTCTGCACTGATGACTAAGAAAAATTTCAAAGCCACTTTAGGAATAGGATTTAAAGTCTTTCTATTAACAGCAATACTTCTATGGAGAATGTTTTCCTCCCTTAAGTTAACAATTGAAATACAAGCTCAGGAAATGCATTGATGTTGGTGTTATCTTTATTAAGATCATACAGTTAGTCAAAGATCTTTTCGAAGCATTATGAAAACCTAACTGTTTTATTTTTAATTGGTTATCCAGATATTTGTAGTTCTAATGCTGGTGTCGATGAATTTACTACTCAAAGAGGTGTGACTTATAGGCAAGACACTCAGCAAAGCATTGCTAGTGGGCAAAATATTGGAAAAGTGACAAGAAAGGGATATAATTTTGATGTCTGGTTCACCCATGTTTCCCTTAGAAAATGGAACATAGGTTCATGTTCTCAAAAAAAAAAAAAAAAGTACTAAGTACACATTAGGTACCAAGCACTGTGTTAGAAGCTGAGACTACATAAGAAAATAAAGTATGTCTCTACCCTCAGTGAGTCATATCTCCAGCCCCTGCTATAAAGAAACACCATCAGTGGAACATCAGACATTTGCATGATGGCTTGTTTCCAGGGCTTGAGTTGAAATGCTAATTATTTATTTTCATTTACTTCACTGGAAATCTGCAGGCCATACTCTCGTAAGTGTCACCTACGTGCCCCACTAAATGTTAAATGGTAAAAGAGGATCATTAACAGCAAAAACCTGGAACAGGGCCAGTTCACCAGCACTCAATCAATACTCATCATAACTCCACTCCTGGGAACTGAGCTTGGGCCCAGAGTGGGTCACAGCAGCATATGTGCACGGCTGTTTGTAAGCCAAGCAGGTTGCAGAAAAGCACAAGAAGCGGGTGTTGAGCGCGCAGTCTATGGATGCAATGAAGCCTAAACGCTTATAATGTGGCAGCCCTGGGGCCTCCTGGGGATCACCAGGGGCTGGCCTGGGAGGCAGCTGTAAGGCACAGAAAGGTCTTTTGATAATATGCATCAAAATCAGACAGCAGCAACAGCCAGGAAGCCAAGAAACAAATTCCTGGATGCAGAAGTTGTTGTCATTGAGATGCACTTCTGTCCATGCACATACATGACAAGAAACATCAGCAGAACCATCTCCAAGGACAAAGGACAGCATGAAATATATATATATATATATATATATACACACACACACACACACACACACACACACACACAAAGACCTAGTGTTTTCGGTAACAGAAAGAGCGCTTTGAATACTATAAACTTCAACAAATGTAGGGAGCAGTAAATGAAGAGAAAATTGCCTTGGTCAAA